ATGAGCTCAAGAAGCCGCTTATACATCACTTTTTCAACAACCCGGGGCCAAAAAAGTGTCTCTGCTGAAGTTTGCTTACAAGAAGCGCCCCAAACTCTTGGATGCCAAATACAAAATTTCTTAATTTTATTTTAAATTCAAAAATTCAATAAACACTATAAGTTATTTATCCTCTTTTTATTTGGCTATCAAAAACTTATAGGTACATTTCAAAAGTGTTACATAATGAAGGTGTAGTTAATTATATTGAATAGTGGTGACGATGATGGTGATAATGAAGGTGATACTAATGATGATAATGTCGGTTGATAATGATGATGAGGATGACGAGTTGACGATGATGTGTGCTTAACAAACATCTTCTTTTTCGGACGCCTTATCTTTTGAACAGAAAGAAAGCTTCGGGGATAAAATTTCGTTAATTGTAAAGTTATCACAGAGTTGAAATGATATAATTTTATTTTATCATGAAATTGGAAAAAGTTAATATAACTATGCAATGATATTATCAAATTTTCAATTGATAAACTGATAATTTACAAAGCTGTCAGATGTACATGCGCAAATTATTTTAGCGGAACGCAAGCCTCTTAACATATCCAGCGTTGAAAAATCGCGAAAAAATTGTAAAATTTCATATTTTCAAGTTTTTCTCAAAATTTGTACGTTTTGATCATCATCCGACATTCTTTTAAAAATTTTTGGCAAAAAGTTCGCCTGGGCATGCATCAAACGCTAAGAGGCTTGTGAGTAGTTAACAAATACCATTAACTGTTACTAAATAACGACGGCGTAAATGGATAGCACACTTTCAAAATTGGTAAAATCAAACTTCTTAAATCAAAAGTGAGTTTTTCTGGTAGAAAAACAGAAAAAAGAACAAAACCCAACAATTTTATTTTATTTTTTTAAATTTATTTTCCAGGTGAATACGTTTTACGCCGCCGACCCATTTAGTCGCCTCTTACGACATGCCCAGGTCGGCCTCGGCCCTATTCTCCAAGGAAGGTTCCGGGACCGTACGGAGCCAAAAATAAAAAATGTCGAAATGAAGTAACCAAGAAACGATAGTGAAGTAGGAAAATGTCGTCGTTCATCGGTTTGTAGGCCAGGAGTGGCTGTTGTCGGCTGTTTTTTGCTTTTTATCGCGTTTGTTTTTATCAAAAATCGAGAAAATGATATTTTATTATAATTATTTTTTCAACTAGGAGGACAGACTGAGGTTATCGCAATCTAAAACGTCCTCTTCCTCCTATAAAAATTAGAAAAATTATCGCATTGAAAATCATCAAATTTTCACAAAACTTCATTGAAATTCTTGCTAGACGCAAAATCGGAGCGACAAAATTGACGGCAAAAATCGCCTGTAGTAGCAAAAAAGGTTGAAAAAGTAACACAGAAAAAGAAACTAATACCCTTTCCTTAAGACAGTCAACCATTGTTGTAATCTTGCAAATTTTGTCCTTCAGCTCATTTTTCTGTTTGCGTAACTTGCCATTGCATGCCTTCAAATCCTCAATGTCCTTCTTGCAACTGTTATTAATGGCTATAGCCTCGCAGATTTTTTCCTTCAAGTTCTTCGTCTCGCATTTCAGCTCCTGTTAATTCAATTTTTCAGGATTATTAACAAGCTATTGTCGGTTATTTGTTTTGGATTCGTTGTTAACTCTTTTTTTAAATTAATTTATGCTTATTAATGATAATTGTGTAGGCAACTAACATCCAGGCATTCCTCGGCTTCCCTAATCTGCGATCTTAGATCAATCATGCACTGTGTGATGGTTTTTTCGAAATAATTAATAATAATTATTATTATTGATTAATTAGTAATTAATTAATTTAGCCTCCAGAGACTCAGTTCCGTTGAAGTAGGACGTTGATTAATTAACAACTTATGAAGAAATAACTAAATATCTCTAATTTATGTGAAAATTGACATTAAATCACTCGTAAATAAACTCGAGAAATCTTAAAATTCAGCCTCGAATTATCATTTATATCTATTTCTGCGTTCATATCCATCAATCTATTCTTCCATTTATACCTCCATTCATTCATTTTTTTCATCTATCAAGCCATTCATTCTCTCAATTATCGATTCATTCATCAATCAATCAATCAATCAATCTATGCACTCATCCATCTTTCCCCTTATTCATTCATCCATCCAACCTGATCCAGTTTATCCAACTCGGCCCTTTCTTTGGCGGCATTTAAGTTCGCGCAATTCTTGCTACTCATCCTATCAAATTTATTATTACTATCATTTTAGGAGATGGCTTCAAATTTTCAAAGCCTAGTTATGATTATAAATATTAATATCAAATAATATCTATTATTATTTTTCACAATTATTACTTATAACTAGGGTTAAACATTGATAATTGGAAATGAATTAGTGGATTGATGGAAAGAAGATAGACAAATCAATGGATACACACACACACACACACACAGAGAGAGAGAGAGAGAGAGAGAGAGAGAGAGAGAGAGAGAGAGAGAGAGAGAAAAGAGAGAGAGATGAGTAATTAACCATAATTAACCTGTTTATAAATCTAAGTATGTGTGCGTCTGTCTTCAATATTGTATCTCGCACACAGAATATCACACCAAGATGATGAAAATGATATCACGGCAATCTTTACAAGAAATTATTTATAATCATAAATATATTATTATAACTGATTTGTAATACAACAAAATTAATATTATGTATATAATATAACCGTTAGTTACTTATATAATTTTCAAAACTTCTATACCAAACGAGCCAGTTGAAGTCCAAAATTCCAGTTAAATAGATGATAGAAGGATGAAAAGACGGTCTCAATAATTGGTAAAAAAATATTTGTAAATAATAATGATGACTCGGTATTAAAAGTTCGATTGTTGCGATTTAGTATTAAAACATTATGACGTCACAATCAAAACATTGACGTAACCATTTTGGCGAAAAGTTAAAGGGAAAACTCGTGAATTCAAACGACATGAAATGAATTCAGATGGTGATTTCAACAAATGAATGAATTAATTAAACCATTAGTCATCACTGGATATAACATAATAAGATATATCAATTATTTAAACATCTGATAGATACATGCATGTGAATTATTATAAAACACATACGAATATATAAACAAATTATTTTTCTCCGTGTATAAAAGAATAGGATGTATGTTTCCTTACCATTCTCTCTCTGTCTCTCTCTCCCTCTCTATCTCGTTTTAAGCACATCAGATAAATGAAATATCATATAAATACATGATTAAATCAGTTAAATAAAATGATGTCAAATCAAATAAAAACTACTATAAACAGAACTCCGTCATTTTTACGACAAAATAATTTAAGATCGGTTTAATAGATGATCGAGTTGTTGTCATCGCCATTTAAGTCAAAATGCATAATTTTGTAACAAATGATAAAAAATGCGTCCATTCATCTATTCATTCATTCATCAATTCATTCTTTCGTTCGTCCATTCGTTTGTTCATTCATTCGTCCATTCATTCATTCAACAATCGGTACTGACAAGAACACGTTGACTCCCACTCATTCGTTCACCACTCACTCATCTCTCCATCTATCCCTTCATTCATTCAACCACTAATTCACTCCTCCATTCATCCACTAATTCACACCTCCATTCATCCACTAATTCACTCTTCCATTCATTCCTCTATTCATTCACTAATTCACTCCTCTATTCATTCACTTAACAATGGGGTCTGCGTAGGCGCACATTGACTCAATGCCAAGGTTGTACTTGTTACCGGAGCCACCCTTGAACAAACTGGTAACGATTTTAAACCAGCCATCCTCACCCTAAATAAAAAACCCATTAAATCATAATATCAATGAATTACAACAATAACAATGAATAATAACAATAGTGGATAGATATAACGTTAATATATTTTAAGAAGAAAAATATTATTATTATTATTATTATTAATCACCCAAGGTTGGCCCCAGGAGTTTCTACCAATCCAGAATTCGGTGCCTGTTTCCTTATCCACACCCCAGCCAGCCACTGATATTATGTGGTTTATCTGGGGGCATGAATGAATGAATGAATGAATGAATGAATGAAAGAACAAACGGATGAATGCATGAATGAATGAAAGAACCAACGAACGAACGAACGAACAAACAAACGGATGAATGAATGTATGAATAGTGGTCACTCTATTAAAAATGTAAAACAAATTAGTCCACAGAACATAGAAAAAATTTAAGAAGAAGGCATGCTTATGCTTAATGCACTGCACAAAATTTAACATCTATAATAAGATGAATGTAATTTTAATCTTTCTCAATTTTTCGACGAATTTGAAAATACTAATTTCAATTGCCATTTGTCAACTATAATAATAATAATTATTATAGTAATAATAATAATTATTATAGTAATAATAATAATAATCTCACTTGAATTTCATCAAAAAATTCAGTATAAATGCCGCCAGAATAGTGATCAAAATTGTCAGTAGCCATGATGGCACAGCTATAATTATAATAATAATATTTATTAATATCATAATTTGATTTTAATATTATTACTAATATCATTGCTTTTTAACCTAAGAAGAATTATTATATTATTCTGGTGTAATTATTTTCAGGTATATAAATAAATTTACAAAATTATGAAAATTCATCATTTTGCCATAAATAATAATATTATTATACACTGCTGCTAAAGTGCCCAGCTTAAAAAATTTTGTGCATTTAGCATGCTTATAAACTTAAAGACAGTCGAAGGAAGACAAATCAAAGAAACAAAAGATAGATGGATGAATGAATAAGTGAATGAATAAATTAATTAATATGAATGAGTGAATGAATGACTAGGTGAATGAATGACAGTCAAAGAAATGAAAGGAGATAATACAATATAAATCTAAAGAGCAAAAGATACAAAGTACAAGAAAAAAACAAAAAAACAAAAAAGAAAAAATGAAGACACCATAGATGAGGAAACTTACAAACGTAAAATAGTGATGTTCAGAATATACACCACCGGTGTAGGCCTCAAACTTATCTGTGGCCATTATGGCACAACTATATTTGTGGGTTTGAATTTTAGTACATTCGTTATGAAAGTAAGTCAGTTAGTGACATGAGTCTGAATTTTAAGTTCTTAATTGCAATGCCCCAACATAGTTATGTTAAATGAAAATTGAGTAGAAAAAATAAGAAAAACCTAAGTGGACCCCTGGTGAAAATCTCTTTCATCATGTTATCCCTACCGTCAATGGATCCATAATCGCCGACCATCCATCTTGTGTAGTTGTTCAGTTGGAAGCACGAACTGGACGACAAGCACGTACCACACTGATTAAACTTGTTGCATTCTGCATATGGTGGTTGATTGAAAAGTGTTCTTGATTATTTCGATTGTTAACTTTTTAACAATTGAATCAAGAGTAAAATGATTAGAAAAGTAAAATAAAATACACTCAACCTTGGTTCTTAGCTTGATAGTTATTACAAGTTTCATCAGGGATCCCTAATTTATGCGCATATTCATAAACGCCAAGGTCACCGCCCCCAAAGCATGACCCAGCATCTCCACAGTCAATGACATTTTGGACCGACAAATAGGCAGATGGCCAGGCAGCTTTTCTTTTGATGTTGATCCTGTCGGCCAGAGCACTAGTCGATCCCATCGCCCAACAGGAGCCACAATCTGGGAATAAACGAAATTCAGTTACAGTTAGTAAGGATTAGTGAAACTTAGTTTAGGATTAGTAATTTCTGATATATAACATGTATCAATAATTCAATTTAAATATGAAATGATTGAATATTTAAAGTTTAGATTCATGTTTACAAATATGTACAGAGTTTTTTTTACATTGTGGGATGTGTTGATTCCTTGTTGTACTGACATAATTAACTCCTGACACATTCCTCCAGTCCCATTCCTTTGGCAAGACAATATTTTCAGATTCCCAAACCCTTGGTGCAGATCTAAGAAGAGAAGAACCATAACACTTTGTTGTTTTTTACAGTAAATTCATCTTAATTCTTAAATTAAATCATTTTAGCTAATTTTAGTAATTTATTCAACCATTAGCCTTTTTTTAAATTTTAATTATAATTATTAATTAATTAATTATTAATTTAACTTTTTTGAAATATTTTGCAAAATTTTTTCATTTGTTTCAACAGTTTCATGAAAAATAAAACTTGAGTCTCTAACTTCACGCCTTTGATTCCTTTGTTATATTTCGGATGGAAACACCCCTGGCCGCCACTATTGCTGTTGTAAATTAGTGAAGGAGATCCCGACGCCAGTTGACAAGACGAGAAAATAGACAAAAATAATAAAATAAACAATTTATCCATAATTTCCTTCTGTAAATTTACTATTTTATAAATATTTTCACTAATTATTTGCACTAATTATAGCAAAAATAACATTATCATGTGATTTAATCAAGTTACCAGGGAAGTAACTAATGTAAAAGTGAATTTCTGTTATAAGTAGTCAAGATGGTCAAATACAGGCAAGCTAGGTATTATATGATTTTTATAGTTAAATACAAGCAATCTAGACATCTTGTTACAAAATAACTTTTTTACATAAATACTTATATACATAAAGATTAACTTTAAGAGATACATCATTACGATATAATTCGAGGTGTATATACTTTTACTATTTTTGCCATCCTATATATATAAATTTGTATATAAAATATATATATATATAATTTATATATATATATATAATTTATATATATTTATATAATTTATATATATAAAGAGAGAGAAAGAGAGAAAGAGAGAGAGAGAGAGAGCGAGAGAGAAAAAAAGAAGGAAAGAGAAACCCTAAAAACCATTTATAGTAATTCTGGATAATGCATGAAAAAACGTTTTATTGACTTTTACATACAAAACTTTTCATAAAAAACAACAATGCTGACCAAATGTAAAGACATAAAAATATGTTGAAGAATTTTTTCATATTACCGGTATGAATTTTAATGAAATAAATAATTTTTAAGAAAAGTTAGATAGAAAAATAGATAAATCGGTGATAAAAAAAATAATAAATGCAGAAGAAGAATGAATTAAAGACACACCACACACACACACACTCTCTCTCACACACACACACAACAGAGAGAGAGAGAGAGAGAGAGAGAGAGAGAGAAAGAGAGAGAAAGAAGAGAGAGAGAAGAGAGAGGCATTTACACAAAGACACACACTACATCGTCTTAATATTTTTGGCAATTTTTAAAAGTTCATAAAACAATGTTTATACAAGTGAATGGATGAATGAATGCACGACGAATGATTGTAATTGATGAATGAATGATTGAATGAATGATTGAATGAATGATCGAATGAATGATTGAATGAATGATTGAATGAATGAATAATCCACGAAACGAATTATTGAACCGGTTAATTAACAAATTGTTAACGTACAACACAATGTGCCAGTATAGGTGACAACACAAGACCAATATCTGAAATGAGGCCAGAACAAAAATGGAATAAATAAAGCAATATAATTGATCATCGTCGTCATCATCATCATCAGCAGCAGCTGCTGCAGCTGCAACATCATCGTCCTCGTCATCTTCATCATCATCATCACCAGGCGTCTGTATATTTGACGTCACATTCTATTAAAGATGGCAGTTTTTCCTGTCAGGAAAAAAATTATTTCATTAGGAATGTTTGATTTGAGTGAACGAACGAACAAATGAATGAATAAATGAATGAATAAAGGAACGAATGAATGAATGGATAGATAGACAGATAAATTGCTAGATAAATTAATAGATGGATCAGCGTGAGGCATAAATAACTGGAAGAAAAAATGAATGAATAAATGAACGAACGAATAAATAAATAAAAATAAATAAAGGAACAAAACGAATGAAAGAATAAATAAGCAAAAAACTTTTCTCACTTTAAGTTCTTGAAATGTTGGGGCCGACAAATGAGTGCTGTTTAAGTTCAACTTCCTCAAATTCCTCATTGCTGACGTAACGATGACGTAATAAAATAATTATAACAACTATTAATATTATTATGAATAATTATAGCTATAATTAAAAGTAATTATGGATAATTACAACCTGAAAGACAGCTCAACCCTTTATCAGTAACGGGAGTCTCACAGAGGTTTAGCACTTGTAATTTTGGCATGTATTCTGAGATGACTTGTAGGCCTGTATCGCCAAACTTTTTAGAAGAAAATGTTTTTCAAAGTTAAGCGCTTGATACATTTTTTGATTGATTGATTAATTGGTTGGTTGATTGATTGGTTGGTTGATTGGTTAGTTGATTGGCTGGCTAGTTGGTTGATTGGTTGGTTGATTGGTTGGTTGGTTGATTGATTGGTTGATTGGTTGGCTGGCTGGAAGGTTGATTGGTTGGTTGGTCAATAAAATTTACTATTGTCATGTTATTAATCCAATCAGTCATACAATCCTTTATATCAGTCAAGTTTTCATCGAACGAACAAACAAACGAACAGATCAACGAACGAACGAACCAGAACACGCGAACAAACCTGTGTCGACCAGAGATTGAGATATCTTAACGACGGCAACTTTATAAGATCGAGTGCACATGCGCTAGTCACCTAGTAATAATAATGAATAGTTATAACTTCATTATGAATATTAATGCAAGTTTTTAAAATCATGAATATTAATGAACCTGCGTAAAAGCTAATGTAAGACACTCCAAATTTCCAAACGCTCCCGAACTGAGCATTCGTCGAAGGTCGTCGTCTGTTGACCTTGAGGGCAAGGTCAATCTTTTGGGACCACCTTTCTGTTGCTGTGATTGGTTGAGTGGAGAAAGAACAATGGCCAATCGATATATCACAAAACATGTTAACAGTAAAAATGAATCAGCCAAGCAATCAAACAAACAACCAATCAACCAATCAACCAGCCAATCAGCCAACTAACTAACCAACCAACCAATCAACCAACCAATCAACCAACCAACCAATCAGCCAACTAACCAACCAACCAGCCAATCAACCAGCCAACGAACCAACCAACTAACAATTTCTTGCAGTTGAATCTGCCTCTGACAGAGTTCATTGTACATCTTCTTACCGACCGAAGTATTCTGCAGCGTGGCGATGGTCTGCAGCTTGTTGTCTTCCTTCTCACAGATCTCAAACTCAAGAACTAAACATAATGCCTACACGTGAATGAATGAATAAATGAATGAATGAATGAATGAACGAACGAACGAACGAACGAACGAACGAACGAACGAATGACTGGATAGATGAACAGAAAAGAAGATGTTTCTACGGATGAACTGAGAAATGAACGCTTGGGTAGATTGATTGATAAGAGAATTAACAAATGAAAACATATTTAACAATAAAACATCAACAACAGCAACAACATCAGCAGCAGCAGAAGCTACGACAGTAGCCACCTCAATAGCAGCTTCATTTCCTCTAACTGCTAACAGCTGCCAGGCACTGATCATTTTTATGTGGGTGTAGAAGAATTTCTTGCGTCTGCAGCAACACCTTATCAACTTCATCAGCTGTTCGTCATGATGACGATGACGATTGCGATGATGATGATGATGACGACGGTGATGGTGGTGATGTTGAATATGATGATGATTCATATAGCGCTTTTTAATTAGTGCTAAAAAATCACAAAAACTCAAACCAAAAAAACCTCACCATAACAGTATACAACTCATCGTCGTCGTCGTCTTCCTCCTCCTCATCAAAATCACCAACAACCTTGTCACCGAAATCTCGAACGCCACAAACGCTACCACCACTACTACACTCATTTACATTTTTACTACCGCTATTTGCACCGCTCATACCACTACCTATACCAGCAGTTACATGGTACCTAGGTACAGAGGCGATCCCCCCAGGACAGTAAACATCAAACCACCCGGCTTTCTCTTCTCTCAATCCGAGAATGGATGAATGAACGTCGCATCTTTCGTCAGAGGCTAGGTTGTGCAGCAGTGG